AAACATTTTAAACATTTAAGAAACAATTTGATTTAAAAATAATGAATTTGCTGAATGAATTTGTTGGGCATTTAAAAAATGTGAGTGAGTGTTTTATTTACATTGAAAATGTTTTCAAATTTTCTTTTCTTCTAATAAAGACTTCACTGGTGATGTAATTTCCTGTCAGATATGAAGCTCCGCCCACTCTTCTGCAGTTGCGAGATTGAAGACTCATCTGGAAACACCGGCACTAGTGATGGGAATTCTGCGGGGTTTTAGGGAGCCGGCTCTTTCAGCTCACAACCGGCTCTTCAGGTTGTTTTGTTGCTTTAGTTAATTTATTATCAACAACAATATAAAATTATCCACAAAATGAATATTTTTTCTGAATCCTTTAACATCCGCAACTGAAAATAGTTGGAAATAAAGTGCAGTCATGTTTGCCAGGTCTTTATCAGCTGAGTTCTGTCTTGCTGGGTCACAGACTTCTGCAAAAACTGTCTCATAGAGCTCTGGGTTGGTTTAGGTGGTTGTGGTGGTGTACTGCAAGATGCTCCAGATGCAGCAGCAACAGTTGACACACTGGCACCTTCACTGATATCACACTCAGCTGACTGTGTTTTATCTTCCCCTTGCACTGATGGGTGGACAGTTCTCAGGTGCCTGCGCAGGTTGTTTGTGGCTCTACATGACATCCTTTTCTTGCAGACTCTACACTCTGACTACTGTTAATGAAATTGAAACGGTTCCAGATTTTGCTTCTTTTCTTGATGTCGCTCATTTTCTCTCGTGGCACCGTTAGCTAACAGCTAATAGGCTAATAATGCAGCCACTTCATATAAAACTGGAGTGATGTGATCATGACTTCTAACAGCTGTTAAAAGACAAGCAGCTGCATTTCGGACTAAGTGTTCAACGCTCAAATAAAGAGAGCTGCAGAGGTGATGAAGGCATGAATATGTTTTTCTAAACCTTTAAGAGAAAGATGAGGCTTCGTCTTGGCAATTTCAGGTAGCTGATAAAAACGGATCTTCTCACCTGTGGACACTTTCTAGTCTGATTTCTAAGAGCGATTTAAAAACACTCTGAAATTCTGGGAATGATGACAAGCAGGAGGTGGTACACCACACTAGGAGGAGGAGTATTCTCTGATAGCAACAGAAAAAGACCGACAGGTATGATTTAAACCATCATAAAACTGTGACTTAAGACCAACAACGTGTTCAAGTCTCAATAAACGAAAGTTATGATCAACTGTGTCAAAGGCTCAGTCAAATCTGAAAGGACTAAAACAGCAGAACGACCCGAGCCAACAGTAAAAAGAAGGTCAATAAAAACTCGTCTCGGCACTGTGACGAGATTTAAAACCACACTGGAACTCTTCAGAAATGTCACAAAGTGCCTGAAAACAACCTCTTCCAAAATTTAGGAGTTTCCAAAATTGGCCTGTAGTTAGAAAGAACATTTGGATCAAGATTTTTGTTTTTTCGGTTTGCACAACAGCATGTTTGAAAGCAGCTGGTACACAAGCTAATGACAAGGAAGCATTATTTAAAAGTAAAATACTAGCCTCAGTAACACGATGAGCTTCCTTGAAAAGGTGAGAAGGGAGGACATCCTGAGGGGAATTGGAAGGTCTTAATTTATGGGCTCAAATTGTGGTCATAAATATTTTGTACTTGTAAATCAGGATTTGTGTGTGTAAAAGAGATTTGTGTGGACTTAGCCAAAAAATAC